AAACATTCTATTAACCGGTTAATGCGTGGCTAAAAATTTGGAAGTCGCCACCACGACATGTCAATAAGAATGTAGACTCAAGAAAAATCTCGAAATCCTGTTCGATTTGATTCGATTCGAACCTGTAAGTCAAACAGAACTGCTGTTTCTTTCTTGTGACCAGAATCGTTCGGGTCGAACCTAGGTTTAAACCGAACATGTTCAACTGTTCGAGGTTTTGGTTTCGACACGAAATGGTGAAATGATTGCGTCAAAACTAGCACGATGGTTTTGTATAATGTTCGGGTTGACAACCGAGCTCAACTGTTTCCGAAGGCCATTCAGCCAGCGCACCTCTTAATTTAGGCAATTCTTATGGTTCAGGACTCAGAAAGGGAAAGAAGTAGTTCCTCCTAGGGTTAGTAAATAGAACTTTAATGCAACCTTATGGATTTGGAAATTCAAGAGCACTCTCTCGTGAGTTAATGAACATTAACCAGCTACTTTGCCTAAGATATTGCCATCTTGACAATGGAATTCCTTCATTATAGTTTCAAACTATAACTAGCTACTACCTTAGCCATTCTGAATATGGACCTAGCATGGAATCTGAGCAACGTTTCAAGGAGGCGGCGAGCAATAAGGACACACCTTCCTGCCCCATCGTTCGTGGCAAGTCCAATTGTACCTGCCCCGCTCCCCCCAGCGAGACTCCTACACATGGCTTCGTCTCAACACACGTTTAGTTTTAGGTGTAGTGTTACCTTATGCTTTCTTTTCCAGGCCCACATAGATCAAACCAGCAGATTGGCAGCTTTGAGCAGACTAGTGGACAGGCCTATCTTGTCTCCTTGCTGCAGTGCTGACCCCTGACACACATGGTGTGAGACCGACCTATAACAGCCTGGCCCTGGATCAGTGGCCTGGCTCAACAAAGTGCCAGTCCAGCCCGGCCCGACGTGTGTGTGCTCATTCTCAAAACAAGTTGTACTCACACCGGCAGAGGCCACCTTATGAATGAACCTGTGTGACGTCATGTTGGCTCTGTTTCTTGATTCTTTGATGACACTCACAATATAATGAGATTGCTCATGTTGCTGATGGAGGATGGAATAGACCCACTAAGAGTGTTATTGTCGGCATTCCTGATGATATAACATGTGAAGGATGTCATGGGTGGAAATAGATACTGAATATAACAAGAAAAAAAGAAACCTCTAATCACGAATATGATGAAACCATTCCTATGAGGTACATGCGAAGGGTGCCAAGAATATAGGCTTGGGCATACGACCCTGTCGGTTTGGGTATAACCGATCCCACCCAACTTTAGGCCGGGTCAGGTATGCATAGTTGATCCTGATCTTGCTGGCCCAGCTGGTTGACCTGACATATGATAGAGCTAATTTCTATCGATTTATGTCGACCGGTCCAGTCGGGTCGACTTCGATCCAAAATCAGGTCGGTTTCATTATGTTGTTCAACAAGTGTGTCCCAGTGGGTAGAGGTCGAGGGTTCAAGCAGCTGCACTTTCCCTTCTCATTATGCACATCAGGACATGTCCATGTTCCACCACACTCACTCACAGTGAAGTGTGGTCAAAGTTGGCATTGCGACCTGTCCACTCATCCCATGCATAACTTATTAGCCCCTATGCTGTGACATGTGCTCCCATGTGGGTTGTTGTTCCGGCCTGGCCCACATGTGCAACATGAGGCCTCACTTGCTAGCTTGACAAGGTTGGCAAGCCTTGTCCTCATCTTTGAGGTGCTGCAGCTAGCCCCTTGAGTTCAGCCATATATATGTGGCTTCCTACTTCACGAGAAATCATCCTTGGACAAAGACCTTGTTCCAGTCTCTAATACTTCTACCATCTTCCCGCTAAGAATAATTTCTTTTTTTTTCCTATTGTGCCCTTATGTTCACTGGTCCATTTTGTACACATTACACGTGTCACTTAGCGCAATAGAGTTGCACAGTTGCACAATAATAATAGCAGCGAAGCAGCATGTGAAAACATGGTTAGCGCGTCAACTTTTTTTTTTTTCTGCAATTAATTTGTGGTGTGTGAGGTGCAAATATTTGTGACTTTCATTCATCTATTCACGATTCGTGAATCACCTTACCGGTTCGTGAGCTATGTGCAATTTTGCTAGAAGTTGCATTTCAAGAGTATTCATGGATGGATGTTGTTGTGTGATCATGAGTGTGCATAATAATCACATGTCCAATGGGTGCTGCTGAGACATGTTCACACTGCCAGGGTAGGTCTGGCGTGAATCTTTTGACAAAAGCCTGGGTCGAACCAGGGCTGGCCTGGATGGGACCAGCAACTTAGCATACATGCAAGACAGACCTTTTATGCACATCTGGGCTGTCAGTATTGGTCCGGCATATATTAGCAACTGGATGACGGTCCATGCGCTATGACTAGTCAAGTCATGGCCCAAGACAGCTGTGCTCAATGACATGTCCACACAGACGAGGCTGGCAATTTGACAGCTTCTCATGGGATATTGGGCGACTCCAGCATGTCTCCTTGCTGCACCTCTGGCAGGTTTGCTGTGAAACCGACCCCAGGCTAGCTTCTCGGTCAATGGCCTGGGTCAACCCAGAGGCCTAGCCCCGTGCTCGTGCTTAGCGTATAGGGTCATTCTCAAAAATTAGTTGACTTGCTGCCACCATCGCTTGTCCTCTGATTTCTGAACCTGTGTGATGTGATGATGGCTCTCTGTCTTATTACCTTGATGATACTCACAGTGTCTCGAGGTTGCTCAGGCTACCGATGGTGGATGGAATAGAACCACTCAGAGTATTTCTGTAAAGATACCTGATGGTACAACAAGTTGTGGTACGAGTAAAAAGAAGCATTGGATACAGCAATAAAACCGTACAATTATTCATGGACACATAATTTGGGCTGCATATGTGGATAGTAACGGACATGGTGAAACCATTGCTACCGACCACATACAAAGGGTGCCTTAGAACTGATACAAACAAATAATCTGAAGGAACTAAATTGTAGGAGTCGGACGTGTGATATCACGTAAGGAGAATGATTGAAGAGAACATAACATGCAAAAACTCTATTGCAATGGTCTACAAGCTACCAATTCAAAAAGGTGCCTGATTGCAAGCACAACACAAACAAGCTGCTACACTGTAACACTGACATGATAATACAATGCTGCAAGTAATAGCCATTACTAAAAAGGAGTTCGGGGCTACATTCTTGACGATTTATTTTGGGGATGATGGATTTAATGGCAGCTGAATCTCATGGCCCGGGGTTCGCTGCTGGCATGATTTCAGAAAACCTCACTTTTTTTCTCATACTCATTGATGGAAGTTTTTAATGTCCCTTGCCCATGTCTCTTGTCTCTTGAACATTGCAAGACCTTGTCGTGAGGCTAATACGGAGAGATCGGTGGCACACCCTGGCACCCATAAGTAGATGGTGAGGCTGCTTGCAGGGGTTAAGGTACACCATTGGCGATTGCATCTGCCTTTCTCATGTACTGGTGCCTGGATAGCTATCCATGGCTGTCCAAGATGCTGCCTTGGTTGTGTATGCCCTGCACATGCAGTCTAGGATGCTGCCCTGCATGTGCTACACCACCTTGAGGTCATGCTCAAGTGTGCGGGAGAACTTTAGGGGACTTCCAACGAGCGAAAGAACAATTTAGGAGCATAGTGACGCATCAAAGATGCAAAAGATGTGCTTCTCATCCTTTAAAGGCCTTTCAGTACACCTGACCAAGGCCAATCCAGTTCATCAAGGGTCAAACGGTGCCCTGATTTTTCACCGGCCAGCCTGCACTTGCAATAAAGTACTAGAACCAGCTTGGTCTTCACTGATCAGGTATATGACTGACAAACTAGGCTGCTTCAAACCCATGGCAAGTTCCCATCATTGCCCGACAAGGGCACATGACACCTGAGCATGATCAATACATATGATCATGCAATTTGTCAAATCGGGAGCTCAATATTGAGCTCACTGACAGGTATAGGTCTGAGCTGATAATCGAGTCAGGCTGAGTCAGCAATCCTGCTCTGCTGGCTGGCCCCGAGTTATCGAGCTGCCGAGAATTGACTTGTCGGCTCGTTAAACTTATTCTTTCACCAGCCAGCCATGACAAATCAGCATGGAATCAAGCTGGTCCGCAATGGCCAAATAGTTGCTCGGTGGACCAGGCCGATTGCCATGTTATGACAAATCCTGTTGGTGCCTGACAGGTAACCATAACACCCGAGTCCGATGGGACACACATGACCCTTGGATTGACAATTTTGAAGCGTACCCATTCATTTTTTGTCAAATCATGGGTCCAATCTGAGAATCGAGCAAAGAGAAGCTGGCGATCCGAGTATCAAGACCCGGCTTATTGGCTCGTTCGTTCAACTTGGGTCGGCAACCCTAACCATAAAATTTCACAATCTACAAAAAGTTCTAATGTGAGCCTCTGATACTCTGAATGCGTACCATCTTCCCTGCAATAGCTTGTTCCTAACAATATGAGAAACTCGAAATGCCGGATCTGTGCTTATCCAGTAGTGAAATGCAAGATCCACCCTAATCAGCAGTGTGACACCACAACCGTACGGGGTCTGGCAGACAGTGATAAGCCCCTACCTGCTCATCTCGGCTTCACCAGCTTGACCAGCTGTCCTATGTTTAGCCATGATCCTGTTCAGCCTTAGTGGGAATATGCGCGTATTGCGTATATATGCGTATCGTATATACGCGCGCGTATATATGCTATACGTTGTAGGGTTGGCTTTGAGAATCCGTTTTTTTTGGGCAGGAAAAAACTTCTCGGGCAGGGTCAAAAAACCCCCCGGGGGGTGGGGGTATGGAGTGGGGTTTGGGGGCTGAAGTTTCAAAGTACTTTTTTTTTTCCACATTACACAAATACCACGGCTTTCCCTTCTCTCTAAGACTCTTACCACCACCATCACTATGCAACTACTACTCCTTAAGCCTAGCCGCCCACACCAAGCCACATTTGCCCCCTCTAGTTGTCGTACTCGTCTTGGAGGATGTCGTCTTCGCCTTCCTCCTCATCCTCTCTCTTCGTCTCATCTTCCAGCCCTTTGTACCCCGCCGTGATTGGAGGCTCCGCTCCAATCCCGGGCACCACATGTGGCAAGAAATCGGCGCGCGTGTGCCAGTAGCGCACAACATTCCACTTGTGCGCAACATAGATCAAGTCCCTACACTTGGCGGATCCGAGCCTGTTTTGGCGTGCGGTGTGGACGGAATCCCAAGTTGACCATCCACGCTCACAAGGTGAGGCTGACACGGGCTGAGACAGCACCCGTACCGCGAGCCCCGACAGCTGTTGGGCATCAGTCCAATTCCACTGCCACCACTTCACCATGCTGTACTTTCCCTCTTTCACCAGCTTCCTCTGTGCCATGGCTTCAGGCATCCCAAAAGAACCCTTCATGTCAAGGAACGCACTCAGCCCATCCCCCAGAGCAAGCAAGATGTCACACGCGTCATCCCCCCCATCCCCGCGGCTCGCGATGAACTCGCTAGGACCGTTCTTAGGGCCCACCACTATATACCTACCTACCTACCTACCTGCGCCTTAGAGCGCCTCGGTTCTTACGGCCCCTTAAGGCCTCGCGCCCTCGAGCGCATTTCCCTACCGCGCGCGCACGATCCGCTAGCTACTCGCGCGCGGGTCCTTTTTTTTTCGCGCGCGCAGCTTTGTTTCTTACGCGCGCGGCCCGCTAGTTACGCGCGCGGCCCGTCGCCTGCTCGCGCACGCCCCGCAGCCGCCCGTCGCCTGCTAGCGCACGCCCCGCAGCCGCTCGTAGCCTGCTCGCGCACGCCCCGCAGCCGCCCGTCGCCTGCTCGCGCACGCCCCGCAGCCGCCCGTCGCCTGCTAGCGCACGCCCCGCAGCCGCCCGTCGCCTGCTCGCGCACGTCCCGCAGGCCCGCAGCCCGCTGTTACAGCGGCCGCCCGCCCGCAGCCGCCCGCCCGCTGCCGCCCGTCGCCTGCTCGCGCACGCCCCGCAGCCGCCCGTCGCCTGCTCGCGCACGCCCCGCTGCCCGCAGCCGCTCGTACGCCGCTGCTTCCGCTGCTGCTTGCGCACTGCTGCCTCCCGAGCGCCGCCGCTGCCTGTGCGCCGCCGCTGCCCGTGCGCCGTCGCTGCTCCTACGCTGCCGCTGCCCGTGCGCTGCCGCTGCCCGTGCACCGCCGTTCCCCGTGCGCCGCTGCCGCCCGTGCGCTTCTGCAGCCGCCGCCCGCGAGGCACTCGCTCTCACTGTTGTTTATTTTCTACCTACCGCGCACACTGCTGCCACTGCAGCTGCCACCAGTGCACCGTTGCAGCTCCTGCTGCCACGCTACCTACTACTGCCGCTCGTGTGCCACTACGGACAGTCGACCCCGCCCGCGCCTTGCCTAGCGGCCCCGCCGGCCCCGTTGACCCTCCGCACACCTTTCCAGCGGCCTGCTTCCTACTACTACTGCTACTGCTACTGTCGCTATGGCTAGTCCGCCAGTTCTAGCTTTCGATGCCGAGGGCCGTCCAGTGAAGTTCGAAACCTGGCTAGATGACCTGCACCTGTTCCTACAGCTCACTGCCAAGGAAGATATCTCACTGTACGACCACGCCCTAGGCCATGCCACTGCCCCTGACTCGTCTGCTGACAGCACTCTGCGTTCCCAGTGGCAGACCCGTGATGCGCACGCTCGCTTTGCTATTCGCAACTCCCTACCGCTAGACGAGCGCGAGCACTTTGGCCAGCACAAAACTGCTAAGGACCTGTACACTGCTGTAGTCGCGGTTGGGGAGACTAGTGGCGGCAGTGGGGGAGGAGACAGCAGCGGTGGGAGTGGTGGTGGAGGCGGCAGCGGAGGCGGAGGTGGTCGTGGCGGCGGCAGGGGTGGAGGTGGCCGGGGCGGCGGCGGTGGGGGTGGTGGTCGTGGAGGCACTGGCGGAGGGCAGAGTCAGCAGCCCGCCCCGACGCTTCAGGCCGCCCGTGAGTGGTATGCGCAGCGTAGCGTTACCTGCACGTACGTCATTCGCACAGGTGACCGCAGCGGCCAGCAGTGTGGGAGGCCGCACCCCACGCAGCGCTGCTTCGCGCGCCTTAACGACGCGTGGCGCACTCAGTTTCCTGCTGCCACTGAGCTGCCGCGCTGGGCTGATCTGGAAAAGAGGGGTGTTGATATTTGGGCTTTAGACTTTGATGCTATTCTCACTGCCATGTATGCGATGTCTATTAGTGGAGAGGGTGCTCAGTACTTGCGTGTTCCGCCCGACCCGGGCATTCAGGCCAGGCCGGCTGCCGCTCTAGGTGCTAGTGCGTCTGCTCCCACAGGTCCTGGTGAGGCTGCAGCCCTAGGTGCTCGTGCGTCCGTGCCCCCTGGTACTGAGTCGACTGCAGCACTGCACACCTTCACACTGGACTCAGGTGCTTCTCGCTCCTTCTTTCGTGACCGCACTGTCCTTGAGCCACTCGCTCGGCCAGTTGCTGTCTCCCTTGCTGACCCCTCTGGGGGTCCGGTCATTGCGACCTCCTCCACTGTCCTTCCTTGTCCGGCGGTCCCGTCCGGCACGCTGTCAGGTCTCTACCTCCCCTCGTTCTCTACGAACTTGGTGGCAGGTAGTGCACTCCAGGACGGGGGTGTTCACCAGTTCACCCCTGCCTACGAGCGCGTGACACACTGCACGTGTGCTCGGACGGGTCGCCACCTGGCTACCTTCACTCGGGAGCCGGGGTCGGACCTTTACACACTGACCACTGAGTCCCCTCAGGTAGCTGCGTCCGCGTCTGCGTCTGCGTCAGGTCAGCTGTCCGCCCCCTGCTCGTGTCGCTCTCTGGCGCATGAGACTGTCCTTTGGCACCACCGCCTTGGTCACCCGTCTGTGCAGCGCCTTCGGGCCATGCACAAACGGGACCTTGTTGCTGGTCTTCCCAGGGTACTCCCTCCCCTTCCCGACTCGCCTGCTCCTCCCTGTATTCCCTGTGTCGAGGGACGGCAGCGCGCCGCTCCTCACTCCTCCTCCTTTCCCCCGACGACTGCTCCCTTGCAGACGCTCCACATAGACGTGTGGGGCCCAGCCCACGTCCGTGGTCAGGGTCAGGAGAGGTACTTCCTGATTGTTGTTGACGACTTCTCACGCTACACCACGGTCTTCCCCTTGCGCGCCAAGGGTGACGTCCCTGATGTCTTGATCCCTTGGATCCGCAGATCTCGTCTCCAGCTCCGTGAGCGTTTCCGCTCCGACTTCCCTGTCCTGCGTCTGCACTCTGACAGAGGTGGGGAGTTTTCCTCTGGCCTATTGGAGGCCTTCTGTCAGCAGGAGGGCATTGAGCAGTCGTACACGCTTCCGGCCTCTCCACAGCAGAATGGGGTTGCTGAGCGCCGCATTGGTCTGGTCATGGAGGTCGCTCGTACCTCCTTGAGCCATGCGGCTGCCCCCCATTTTCTGTGGCCGTTTGCAGTCCGATACGCTGCGCATCAGCTCAACCTCTGGCCCCGTGTCTCCTTGCCCGAGACTTCTCCGACACTGCGTTGGACGGGAGAGGCTGGCGATGCGTCGCGTTTTCGGGTCTGGGGATCCCGAGCTTTTGTCCGCGACACGTCCGCGGACAAGCTCTCCCGTCGCGCTGTCCCCTGCGTCTTCCTTGGCTTTGTCCCGGACGCCCCTGGCTGGCAGTTCTACCACCCCACCTCGCGTCGTGTCCTGGCCTCTCAGGACGTCACTTTTGACGAGTCCGTCCCCTACTACCGCCTCTTCCCCTACCGCACTGCCCCGCTCCCCCCCCCGCCTCTCTTCCTCGCTCCAGGTGCTGAGGTACCAGACCCCCTCCCCCCTCAGGGTGCCGCTCCCTCAGGTGTGTCCCAGGTAGACCCGGGTGAGCCTGTCGAGGTAGCTGTTGACTCTCGTCCTGCTCGGGGTGCTGAGCCTGGGGGTGCTGCGTCTGGGGGTGCTGAGCCTGGGGGTGCTGCGTCTGGGGGTGCTGAGCCTGGGAGTGCTGAGTCTGGGGGTGCGGAGCCTGGGGGTGCTGAGCCAGGAGGTGCGGAGCCTGGAGGTACAGAGCCTGGAGGTGCTGAGCTTGGGGGTGCTGAGTCTGGGGGTGCTGAGTCTGGGGGTGCTGAGCCTGAGCGTGCTACACCTGGAGGAGCCCTCTCCTCCCAGCAGCTGCAGGAGAGGTACCTCGAGTACTGCCGCCTCCGGAGAGGTGCTGCTGGAGCTCGTCCCGGTACTTCCCCTCCTACCCAGGAGCTCCCTCCCATTCAGCAGATCCGCGAGTGGTACACACGGCGCTGCAGTCTTCGGAGTGGTGCTCCTGGTGCTGCGGACCCTGGGGGTGGCGCTGCTGCTGGTACTGAGGACCCGGACGTGGGAGCTGCTGCTGGTGCTGCGGACCCGCCTGGTGGAGCTGCTGCTGGTGCTGAGGACTCGGACGTTGGAGCTCCTACTAGAGCTGAGGACCCGGGCGGTGGCGCTGCTGCTGGTGCTGAGGACCCGGACGGTGGAGCTGCTGCTGGTGCTGAGGACTCGGACGGTGGAGCTGCTGCTGGAGCTGAGGACCCGAGCGGTGGCGCTGCTGCTGCTGCTGAGGACCCGGGCGTTGGAGCTACTACTGGTGCTGAGGACCCGGCCGGTGGAGCTGCTGCTGGTGCTGTGGACCCGGACGCTGGAGCTCCTACTGGTACTGAGGACCCGGCCGCTGGAGTCTCCTCTGCTTCTGGAGACGCTGCGCGGCCGCGACCGTACTTCGTACCGCTCCTTCAGCAGGTTCTTGGGCAGGCTCCTCCTCCTTGTCCTCCTCCCTCCGTAGAGTGTCCTCCGCCTGTCCAGCCGCAGTCACAGTTACCGCCTACCTCGCCTCTCCCTGCTCCCTCTCCTTACACTGGTCCCACAGGAGGTCTTACAGAGCGTCGTGAGCCTGAGTCTCGTCCTGCGTCGCCTGTTCGTCCTGCTCGCACTGGTAGTCGTGTCCGTCGTGAGCGTCCTCCTCCTGTCCCAGGCACTCACTACATGACTCTGCGTCCCTCTACTGCTCCTCAGCGTGTCCCTCTACCGTCTCCTCCTGCGTCCTCTTTGCCTGACGTTCCGGACCCTGAGTCTGACCGGTATCGTGCTGAGCACCCTACTGTCACGCGTCTCCTTGCTACTGTTGTCACTGACCCTACCTTTGAGTCCTCGGCTGCGTCTGCTCTGGTCGCTGAGTTGGTTGACTTTGCTGCTGCCTGTCGTCTAGACTACGCCGCTAGCCTTGTTGCTGAGTCTGAGTCTGAGTCTGTCTGTCCTCCGTCCGTCGGGGGTGAGTGTGCTCTTGGCACGGACGTCCTTGAGGACAGGCAGGAGGAGTTCCAGTGTCTTGCTGCTGCTTTGCCCCGTCTCGTGTCCTTGCTAGTTGCCCCTGAGGGAGACCCGGATGCACCAGACATCCCGACCCCGCGCACTTACGCTGAGGCGATGGCGGGTCCCTACTCCTCTCAGTGGCAGACAGCCATGGACGCCGAGATGGCTTCCTGGAAGTCCACACGCACCTACGTCGACGAGGTTCCCCCTCCTGGGGCGAACATCGTCAGTGGCATGTGGATTTTCAGGGTGAAGCGGCCGCCGGGTTCCCCGCCTGTCTTCAAGGCGCGTTACGTGGCTCGAGGCTTCAGTCAGCGAGAGGGAGTTGACTTCTTCCAGACCTTCTCCCCCACCCCGAAGATGACTACTCTTCAGGTGCTGCTGCACATAGCCGCTCACCGCGACTACGAGCTTCACTCACTTGACTTCAGCACTGCTTTCTTGCAGGGCAGCCTGCACGAGGAGATCTGGCTGCGCCGCCCACCTGGCTTCACTGGGTCGTTTTCTCCTGGTACCCAGTGGAGGCTTCAGCGGCCGGTCTACGGTCTCCGCCAGGCGCCGCGTGAGTGGCACGACACACTGAGGACTACACTTGCGGCTCTTGGGTTCGCGCCTTCTACAGCTGACCCGTCGCTGTTCCTGCGCACCGACACTTCGCTGCCGCCGTTCTACATCCTCGTGTACGTCGACGACTTGGTCTTTGCCACTGCTGACACTGCAGGACTCGCCCACGTGAAGTCGGAGCTGCAGAGGAGACACACGTGCACAGACCTGGGTGAGCTGACAAGCTATCTTGGCTTGCGGATCACCCGGGACAGAGCACGGCGCACCATCACCCTGACTCAGTCACACATGGTGCAGCAGGTTCTCCAGCACTTCCGCTTCACGTACTCCTCGCCCCAGTCCACTCCTCTGCCTACCGGTCACTCGCTCTCAGCTCTGCCTTCGGATGAGTCCGTAGAGCCGAGTGGCCCGTATCCAGAGCTTGTGGGCTGCCTCATGTACCTGATGACCTGCACTCGACCTGACCTTGCATACCCTCTTAGCATCCTTGCACGCTATGTCGCTCCTGGCCGTCACAGGAAGGAGCACATGGATGCCGCTAAGAGGGTGTTGCGCTACTTGTGCAGTACGTCGGGCATGGGGCTTGTGCTTGGAGGGCGAGACCGAGTTGTTCTCACAGGGCACTCAGACGCTTCTTGGGCAGACGACCAGGCCACTCAGCGGTCGTCTCAGGGTTACACCTTCAGCCTTGGCTCTGGCTCAGTTTCTTGGCGCTCTACACGCTCTTCTTCTGTTCTCGGCTCCAGTTGCGAGGCTGAGATCTACGCTACAGCCATGGCTGCCCAGGAGCTACGCTGGCTGACCTACCTGCTGACCGACCTCGGAGAGCGGCCTCGTTCTCCTCCAGTACTGTACGTCGACAACAAGGCTGCCATTGCCTTGTGTGAGGAGCACAGACTGGAGCACAGAACGAAGCACATCGCCCTGCGGTACTTCCTTGCTCGTGAGCTGCAGCAGCGCGGTCAGCTTTGTATTCGCTACGTGGCCACTGAGGCCAACACTGCTGATGTGTTCACCAAGGCGCTTCAGCCTCGTGACCATCAGCGCTTCTGCACTCTACTAGGCCTTGTGCCTACTGGACCTCACTTACTTACCTCTTGACTTTGCTTGTACTGTGATCACTATATATATCTATACCTGCATGTTTACTCTTGCTAGGTTGTGATCACAGTATCTCTTGCTCTGTTATAAACCTGCATGTGAACTGGTCTTGTGACCACTAGCTTGTGCTCGGAATTTGTGTGGAATCCTTGAGATCCACCCTGAGCTTGTTGTTGCCTTGCTTTGCCTTGACTGGTCTTGTGACCCCTAGGTCTCCCCCACTTTGCCTATGGGGGTGTGTCAAACATTATACATGTTGTATTTGTGTAGGCTGTAGTGGGTTAGCCTATAAGGGGGTCACAACATTAGGGTTTCATATTTGTACTCACAATCCTTGTTAGTTCATCATTCCAGTCCGTTATCACTGACACAGTTGACTCAGCTTCCCCATTCCCTCTGGAAGCCAGCTTAGGACGCTTTGAAAGATCTGAAGGCTTGTGGGTGAGGAGAGCCGTGAAAGCGATGAGGGAAGCTCTGAGTATCTCAAGGTGGAAACTTCATTCAGGTGGAAACTCTTAAGGTTGGTCATATCTCCAATGGATTCAGAAAGCATTAAGCGTGGAGAGTTGACGATGCTGAGAGACTCGAGTGCTGTTAAATCGCCAAGGCTTGGAGGTAGTTCGCTGAGAGATTCACAGTCAACCAGATTCAGAATCTTGAGAGCAGTGAGGAGGCGGAACGAATCTGGGAGATGCGTGAGCTCCGGCAGACCCAGCGACAAAAATGTCAGAGCGGGTAGCCTTCCGAAGGTTCCAGGCAGGCTGGTCATCTTGCACCGGGAAATTGTCAACCTCTGCAGAGCGCGGAGGGAGGTGAAGCCGCCAGGCAGATGGGCGAGAGATTCACATTCGTTGATGATCAGCTCCCGGAGGCATGGCATCAGCTCTCCCATGGCATGAGGAAGACTTTGAAGCTCGACGCTCTTGCCGAGACACAATCGTTCCAGACTGCTGCATGGCTGATTCAGCAGAAACATGAGGTCGAACCGCGGACTTGCTGCTTCCAACTCCAGCGACTTCAGACACGGCAGTTGTGCGATCGGGAAAGGCGTCACCGATGCGTCAAAGCAGCAGGAGAGACTGGTGAGTCCTGAGAGAGAAGTGAGGCTCGACATCTGTAACCGACCGGGAAATCCGTCACCCTTCTCTAGAGAGAGAGACGCGAGAGAAAACAGGTTGGTAAAGCTGGGAGCCTCCCGAGCCGAGTTGCTGGTCAGAGCTAGATTGTGAAGGTTGGTCAGTTGAGAGAAAGTCGATGGTAGCTTGGCGTTTTGATGAAGGCAGTAGAGCGACAGGTGCTGCAGTTGAGTGCAGCGACGGAAGAGTCGATCCAAGCCTGGTTCGCTCACCGGGTGCTCGTCCATCCTATGGGATGATCCGCTACTCTGTGTTATCTCCTTTCCCACATGAAGAGCCTTCAGCTAGGGCACGATGAAGCGAGGTGAGCGAGAAAGGCATTGTCAATGGTCTCAACGCTGTTGTCCATCAGATGCACATGGGTGAGGCTCGGGAAACACTTGACAGCGGCGGTCAGGTCACGAAGAGAAACAACCTGGCGATCCTTCACGAGCAACGTGGAGACGTGATTTCGAGCGAGATTACGCCATCTGCGGCATACCGATGCGATAAGAAGGCTAAACGCGGCGTCTGCGGAGGCAGGAGGGGTAGGCAGATGCGATTCATCGCCATACGGCCTTTCCGAAGTGTATGTCGGCCTGGGTGACAAGGAGGCCCCCGGATAACTGACTTCGGGTTGGCTAGAAACCGACTCGGGACACCATATTATCTTGACGAGGAGATCGTCTGGCAGATCGTTAATCGTGCTAGCCGTCGTATTCCTAACAACAGGTTGTGTGCTGGAGACTAGGCGGAGCTTTGAACGCTTTACTGGCTTCATTTGGTGGAGATTAGCGTTGGCGATGGGAACTCAGGAGCACTGGTTGCTTCGTTGCTCGCAGCTTTTAGGGTTTCTGAGAAGTTACGACCAGCCTCGAAATTTGAGAAACTGAAGTTACGACCAGCTTGGCGCGCATTGCCAAATGAGAGTAGGTGCTGGCGATGCTTTGCTTGTTGCCAAGCCATGGCAGCTCGGCCAGCTCAAATACGACCGCTCTATATACGTGCTGCTCCCGTGCATCCTTGGCTTGATACTCCGCCCGTTCCTCGTGATTCATTCATATTCCTCGTGTCTCAGTAGCTGATCATTAGCGCGGTTGTGGCCTCTGCGGATTGCGTTCCGTATAGCGAACGGATTCCTCACCCACGCCGACCTTCGAGTGAATATCGAATTCTGTAGAGAGTGAACATGGAGCGACGCGCGGCTTCAGTTTTATGAGAACGTCTGGAGATTCGAAAACGCGGCTTTAGAAGGTAGATCGTGCGTGTGAAGGCGGAGGATGGGTATTTGGTTTTTGGTGGCGGCTCGGCGACCAATAGTGAATGCACTCGAAGCGAAATTTGATTTATAACGCAAAGTTTGCGAGATATGGACAATGAGACGGAGGGAGAGAAGGACAAGGGCGTATGAAGCGCTGCGGCTGGCGGCTGATGGGGCTCACTCACGGAGGCCGTGGAGGACGCGTTTGGTGCGGTCAGCGATGGGTGGGGTGCCGTGAGAAGCTAGAAATCGCCAGGGTGAGAGATGGGTACGTGTGTGAGCCTCGGTGAGGGTTGCTGTGGGGTGGAGGTGCGTTTGAGAGTCACTCAGGGGGCTGGTGAAAGGGCAATGACGAAATACTGAAGGGGTGGCGACTGGCCGCTGAAAAGGGGAGGTGCTGATGGGGCTGGCGGAGGATCCTCGAAAAGCACCCTGCCTAACCTCCCCATTCCCACCCTTACCTACCCCCTTCCCCACTCTTTCTTCCCACCCCTCCCCTCATCCCTGACCCTACCTGCGCTGCTCCGCTCCTCCTTGCTTCCCACACCCACTCGCACCCACTCTTACCCACTCGCACAGGAATGCTGCTTGCCAAAGCTCCATCTCGTACCCTTCCCCTTACCCGCTCCCTTGTCTTCCCCCCTCCACTTATCCGCAAGCACATTCGGATCCTGTTGAATGGGCATCCGCACTTGCGCCCAGTGAATTCCCGCCTGTGTTACGTTCACAAACCGAACGTCATCGATCAAAGCCCTTCTCTTGATGGTCGCTGCTGCCTGTTCACACAAATCGCCATTCGCAACGTTCGGATGATATGGCTGCTTACTTTGGTATATGCTGTTTATGCGCTGTAATCTTCTGTTTTTGGGCCTTTTTATTCCAGACATGTTTCCTCTCGGGCGTCGGAGATGCCATGCAGCCATGCCTCGATACTCGTAGCGACGGTGAGTCAGAGTGTGTTGCAAGGAGGCGGTAATGTTGACAGTGAGCCACGCCTGCATGGCTTCAGCACAGCGAGCTGTGCCGGTGCTTAGATGAGTGCGGTCTACCACAGCCAGACAGATGAGCCAGAGGAATAGAGGGTGCATGGGGTGTTACGGATGGGTGGAAGGGGCCGGGAGGCAGTTGGCTATCTGGCTATCGCCAAGGTGAGAGACGGTGCGGGGCAGGGCAGATGCGTGTGGGAACCTGCTTTTTTGGTAACTGCTTCAAACGCCCCTGCCACACCCTCATTTGTCCCTACCCCCTCATTTGCTAAATTCCTCCACACACAAACCCATGAAGTGCGCCAGCAAGCGCAGCGTCGCCTCGATAGTCGTCACTGTAGCCACGTGTCGTGAAAAGCAATGACAGTATCGCCAGGTGTCGCTGCGTTGCGCAATCGAATCCTATATACGTAATCGTCGCCTTTCCATTCTCAGGCCTTGGCTGTATAAGGCGGTGCGGCGACGTTCAGCTTAGAGATGTCCTCAGTTTCTGCGGATCGAGCTTCTGCATGCGATCGCCGGGGTGAGGCGATCTGACGGCGCGCCTAGGGTAGCTAAGAGATGCGTCCGAACGCCTTGAAAGTGCGGTCGCGATCGACTTCCTATGCAGCCTGCATGCAATGGGTCGCTCATCGCTTGCGGCGATGGTCGTGCGACAGCGACATCTCACCGTGAGACGAAAGGGACGGGCGAAGATGGATCTGAGGGTGTAACTTGATATGAATGGACGGATGGTACTGCGGGGTGACGCCACTCGGATATACCTCCCTCTTGTCTCTCCGTAGTTCACCCCTTTCTTCCTCTGCCTGATGCTCGCCCGCGGCTTCAATCTTCTCAATCGCTTCCAATCTATTTTTCGCGGAATTCTCCTACCCCCGGAATCCCGATTTGTCCCCTTCTTCGAGCGCATATTCCTTCGTCGCCCTGCTGCTCATCTTTCACCCTCGCCTTAGCCCAACTGTACCTCCACCCAACTTGCTTAGCGCCTGTCTACTCATTCCAATCTGCTCCCCTCCAACTTTTGTTATTCTTGTGAGTGTCCCCGTCCACCTCTTCATCTCCCCTTGTCCCCCGTCCACTCCTCTCCCTTACCAATCTCCTTACCCCCTCCATCCCTTCATCCGCGTCCTGCTTCTCACCCTCAACTCTCGCCTCATTCTCACGGACCCCCTCTTCTCACTCTCACCTGCTTCTCCTTCCGAGTTCTCTTTACTTCATCCCCGCACCAGCACAACACTTCCTACCACTGCTCGCTCATCAATTTCCCTACACCTACACCAGGGCGCAATAATGGAAAGGTATACAGCATGAGCCACCAGCTCCTGCTATGCACCCCGACTGCTCACCTCCTCCAGGACCCCTTCAATTTCCACATCGGTCATCCAGCACGCCATGGCTGTCAGGTGCGTACTCACTCACCCCCGCTCCCTTCCAAGTTTCAGCCTGAGGGGAAGAGGTGTGGGGTTAAACGGATGTGGGTAGGGCAGGAGGTGGCGGAGAGAGGCGAGGTGGTGGCTTGGAGTTGCAGAAAGTGAGGCAGGGAGCTCAGCACTTGCACTGCGTGGGGTGGCATATGACTCATCCTAGGCATGAGCATTAGCCGGGTCGCAGCCAATTGTCGGCCCGCATCAAGCCAGCCAGGCCTGGCGCTGCAGGCCGGACGTGACCCAAGTCACACCCTGGGGTTTCAGCATTGGGCTGCGCCGGTCCGGGCGAGATTCCAGCGTGGGTCGGCCTAGTCAGTGATGCATGCGAACCATGCCATGCGAGTCACATTCCGTGGCTGTGACAAGAGTGGGGTGCGAGTGTGAGCAGAGAGGGTGGGGATGGGGGAGAGGGGGTGCGGGCGCCGGGCACGGTAAAGGGGAGTGTGGCTGCGAGCAGAGACAGGCCATGGACGGCCATGCCTCATATGCTGACCTTTGGTTAGAGCCTGGCCTGCCTGTGAGGTCGGCTTGTCTCGGCCCGACCATTGATGAGCCCATGCCCATAATCATGCTCCATACATCCACGCTTACAGTGGCGACAGACTTTTGCTCACTGGTGGTCTTCCGTTTGCCTCCTATACATTTCTAGTACCAAGTAGATAGCATTGTGGTTCACTATGTATGTCATATCTCATGAGAGGGTAGCTATTGGTTGTTGTTGCCTTGCCTCCTTCTCCTTCTCGCATCCAGCTAATGTGCCGCGGTGCGGGCAGTGTAATGGTGTGCTCATGCCCTTGCTGCCTTCTGTCATGACCCTTCCCCTTCCTGCGCATCCTTCTTTCCCGCCCTCTCTTTTCGCTCTCAGATGCAGCTCCTTCCTGCTGGAGCTAACAGCGCGTGTTGGTGGGGACATGACACGACCTTCTAGAGACTCTGAGGCAGGAAGAGCAGCTGAGGCGAGCCAAGGAGTTAGCAGAGATGGCAAATGACACCAAGCGCACCATCCTGAGGAATATGAGCCGCGAAATCCGCATTCAGATGCATGATGAACGGGGTGGGTGGGTGGATGGGGGGGTGGTGATGCATACGTTGCATGGTGTATGCATGGTGTGTGCTTGGTGTGTACATTATGTGTGCATGGTATGTGCATTTTGTGTACATGGTGTGTTATTTGTGTGCATATGCCACCACACTGCATGGTTGAGTAGCAGGTACCTTTCTTCCACTTCATACGTCAGGCAACAACCCACTTCCCCTCATCTTTTCCTCCCTTTTCCTCCCCTTCCCTCTCCTTGCCTTCCCGTTTCCCCATCCTCTAACCTTTCCCTCTCGTTCCCCTCCCTTTCCCCTCCCAATTTCGTCCCCCCTCTCCTTCCCCTCTCCTTTCCCTTCCCATCTCCATCTCCTCCCCTTTCCTCCCTTTACCCTCACCTTCCCTTCCCCTTCCAAGCCGTTTCCCCTCACCTTCCCCACCCCCTTTCCGCCCATCACATTCACCTGAATTAGCTCCGACCTGCCCAAGACCAAGAGGTCCAAACCCTTATGGCTCGCCACAAGCGTCAAGTGCTAATGGGGGGTAATGGGTGGTGAGAGTAAAGGGCAGCTGCTGAGCGGTAGTGTTGGCGAGATGAGATGTGGTGCATCTGTTGTTGTGCCTCGACCTCGTGACTCATTTGTGGATACTGAGATAATCGGACGCTCATATGGGCGTGGAGTTGTTCGCCCTTAGTAAAAGGCAAGTGTACCCCTGGTTTACTCGCTGGACTGCTGCATTGAATCGCACGTGCCTCAATGCAGGGAGATTGCGACAGATCATACTGAATCTCCTGCCCAACGCGACAGATATTATTGTGGGCGGCTGAAAAAGAACACAAGTTCACGCAAATATATGTATACTTCTGGGTATGCGTTCTGAATGTACATGAAGACGGTGTCGAAGGCACAATCCCATACTTTCTTACGCACCTCATCCCATGCTGCACATTCCTCGCAACTGTCGCCTCTGAATCACGTTCGCTTGCCTCAGTCCCTTCCCTCTTGTGTGTGCCCCTCATTCATGTCCTGCCCATCACTCATACCGGTAACAGCATAATCCCCTCGAGCACAGATGGTTGCCACACAGCAGCAGAAGATGAGTCAGGAGCCAGCCACGAGGGTACACGAATCTAATATCGTTCATCTCTCAAGACAATGGCTGGCGGATGGTGGATCATGATACTACTGTCCAGTATGATGGGATTGGCTGGACAATAATTGACAACAACATCAATGGGGAACATTGCTTATGTAACCTCATCGATGGGAAACCTCATTGCTTTGTTAAGCAGGCAACCTCCTATGCATCGTGAGCAGACGTATTGCAAGGCACAGATACCGGTACAATCACGAAACAAAATACGGTACATCTTCCAGGCTTTGCCTAGCTAACAACATGAAAACTCCTAGCTCACTTATTCCTCCATAATGCTGGACGGCAAGGTTCCCCCTACATGATCACTTGGCTACTAAAATTACGGTAATCTTCAATTCATCCCCTTTCCTCCGCATAAAATTGTGTACAGCATGTAACCAGAGCCGGGCAGGCATGCTGATGCAGTCTGCCCTCATGCATCTGGTCTCAGCATCGTCTGATGTGTAACATGGGAGCAGTATAAAAAAAGCATGAACAATCATGCAGACCTTACAAGGTCCATCATGTACACTGTATATTTTTTCCTCTGTGGAGATACCTGTACACTTCGCACCCAAACAGCCACACATTTCTTATGCAGCTCCCTTCATGTAACCATGCAAGTCACTACCCACCCCTGGTCTCAACCCTCGCCCGCCACTGTTGCTTCTGCCATTGCTGCCGCCGCTGCAGCTGCCAATGCTGCCCACCATGCTCGCCTCACTCACTGCTCTCTTGCTCCCCTCTGTCCCCAGCTTCCCCTCCTCCCCTCCCCTTCCCCTCTTGCTCTGCCTCAACTTCCCCATCCCCTTCCCCTTTCCCGTCAGCCCTGCTTCTGACCGTTTCACCCTCCATCATAAGATCGGTCAGGCAGACGATTCTTATGAAGCTCCTTTCATGAACACAGTGGCCCAACCAGCCCTGCACCTACTTCTGCCCAACAGCTCCTCACGACCATTCCCCGACACACTGAACTTTTCCCTCAAGTCACCTCCCACTCCATCATCACTCCCTGCCACCCTACCTGCCGATCCGCCTGCCTGCAGCCTCATTGTCAAGGCGACCCCCTTCTGGTGTATAGAGAGTTCTCAGATTGGTCAGGGCAGTCAGCTGCTGCAGCCCATCATCCGTGACTGCCGTGCCATCCAGCACAAGTCTCTCAAGTCCTGTCAGCCTCCCCACGTGCACCACGCCCGCACTTGTCACACCCTTGCATCCAGAAAGCCCCAGGGCTTTGAGAGAGGGGAGATCTGTCAAGTGCTGCAGACCAGCATCGGTTACCTTGGTATGACCGAGAACTAGGATTTTGAGACAGACCAAGGACCCAATGCCTTCCAAGGCATCATCTGAAACGTTTGTGTGGGCAATGTATAGCATCTCCAGCCGAGGCAGACTGTAGAGGTGCTTGATGCCCTCTGCACTGAAGCCCGAAGAAGAGTTCAGGTTGATGCTTGTCAGGTGTTTCATGGTGGACACATGGGCGAGCATGGCGTCTGAGAGGCCATCGAGATTCGCCAGGTTCACATAGGTTCCCCGTGTTGCTGACGTGAGTCTATGGCGCTGGTGGATGAAGAGGGGATGACAAGAAAAAGGTATGTCCACGTGTTTACAGCCAACAATGCACGCCCTGTGGAACAGTTTGCTCACCACTCACCAGCTGAGCATTCTCCTCCATATCTTGTGGCATGGGCCATTCCGTACCGGTTCCCGAAACCTCCATGGCGCATGGCCAATTCAACTCCTGCACCTGCCTCCTCCTCTCCTCCCTCCTTTGCCAACCCCGCACTCACTGCGGAATGCCGAAGTGGATGACTGACTGACTGACTGTGGCATGTCAAAATCATGTGGAGGTGAACGCATTCAGGTAAACAGCGACACACACACAAGAAAAAGTAGCAACAGGAGCGAGCGACATCCAAATCAAGCAAATATGAGCCAACCGCAAGTAAATACCTGAAGCATTTTAGGTGCGGCAGGGTGTGGGGTGGGGGTTTTTAGGTGAAGGTAGGAAAGGGGCAGTGTGGGCACTCTGGTACTGGATGGTGGGATTCCACGGGGGGATTGAGGCCAAGGCGAGTGTTGCTTGCCTCGTCCAGAGATAAGCAATCATGCTCAGTCCACAAGGGAAGCTGTGGCGGAATGGGAGAATTGAGTCAATGCTAGTAGTGTCTACGCCTTGGTAGACGCACATGGCAACCCAAAACGAGAAGAGTATTACTCGCCTCGCCATTCCCTCATGTCTACATCCGAGCAATGAAAGAACGATATTGAGGTGCAAGCTTTACCTAAAGGAGGAGTTTCATACATGAAACGTGAGCTAATACAACTCAAAAGAAGAAACCGTTTGAATGAGCAGTGGTCTCAGACAGGATTGTGTGGGTGGATTTTACAGAGGGACTTCAAAAGACCGATGGCAAATGGTTTGGGATATGTGATAATGAGTGAACTCAAAGCAGTGTCCAGTCACACTCGCTTTGCTTTCTTGACATGCATGTGCACGGGGTAAATTGCGCTCAATTTTCCCCGAGCACGTCTTGTCCATGCTCAGGAAAAACTGATGATCATGGAACTGAAAGAGATGTTCAGCTTGATGCCTGAACCAGAGTTCACTGCTCTTTCTGTTTCTGCTAAGCTCTAGTAACACGAATGGCGACACCGATGAGACATATTTACTTTGATAATGAAAATCTTAGCTGAAACAGCAAAAAGTTGTAGTAGGCACATGAGAGAAACATAGGAGGCAGCACTACAGGACCCCAGCGACATGTGGGAGATGATGATTGCAGGGAGTGTCGACTTGCGAGCCCCAAAATGAATGGTATGAGGGGGCGGGCCTTACCTCCGAGGCCTGTTTTGGGGTTTTGCAGAGTGAAACGCTGTGCTGGTCGGAGAGACTATGCAGCGCAGAAACTCAAATCGAAGCTCAGAAAATGTGCAGATGCGCAGAACGATCTGAAACCATGCAGCTGCAAATATTACTTCAGAAAAAGGGCTGCCTATGAAAACCGATTGAAGGAAGGGCAGAGACCAAACACGCGAGGAGTAATGGAAGGAGAAGACAAGAATAATAGGTAGCGTGTGAGGACAGGGGAGAAATACTAGGCGGATGAGTGGGGATAACTGCTATGCAGGCTCGGAGAATAAGAGGACGTGCGCTGTCCGTAAGAGTAATGCCAAGATTGGAAGACTCAAGGTGCTAATATGTTAACTTGATGAAGTCTCAATCGTTAAGAGTTAAGAGTGAGGTCAACCACTGCAGTGGAACAGCGGATTCGGGTTTAGGTCTAGGCATAGAAAACGCACACAAATTTCAAACTATGTCAGTAGAGGACCAGGCAATAAAATCAGAGGGCAGATGTCGGTGGTGGCGATGAGGGCGCAAGGCTGTTATTGGATTAAACAACAGCACTTAAATTTGTTCCTCGTAGTAGGGCACACTAAAGTGAATGGGTTTGCTCGTGTGCTCCGGTTCGACAAGGCCATGCTAGGTGACGTGACCTCACTTTTCATTTGACGAAGAGATAAGGAGAAGAAGTGCAAGCTAGCACTTTTCAATTACACTTTCTGACACCTGAGGAAAGGAAGTGCAAGCTAGCATGGCTCTAGCAGAAATAGCGCTTATAAGATATTAGGAGCTCTGAAAAGGAGTGGGATGTAACAACGGGATTTCAAACGCGGACACCAAAAGAAACAGCGATCATCGCTGATGATGATGATGGGGCTTGAGGCAATGACAAGAAGGCGTTCCGTTTGCACAGAGGTGTGACGCCTTCACGCATGACTGCGCAACTGTTTACTGAGATTTACCTTACTGCGATAGGCTCTGGGAATGTGTGGAATGGAGACGGTGGGAGGGTACCGAAGAAACTGAGAGTGGGGAACGACTTTGAACTAACAAATCATCGGCGAGAGAAGGAATTGTGACTGGGGCCGAAACGAATGGAATGATGGGACCGGCCTAGGCCTGTTTCTAGGGTTTCGCAATTTGAAGAGTCGTGAAGATATCATACCTAGGCAGAGACTCGAATATGAGCTCCGCAATGAGGGACGAACACTTTAAACGATCTGAAATGCGCAGTAGCTGTGATCTTCACTCGATAGAATGACATGTTTCAGAAGTAGGCAGGGGCCAAACGACGCAAGCTCCCGCTGAGCGACTCTCTAAGAGGTATAGAGACGAGCAAATAATAAAGACGAGACGAGGAAGGGGTACTGCGGGATGACTGTGCTGATTGTGACGCGGGCTCGGAAGATAGAAAGGAGCTACTGATTAGTAGTAATGCTGAGCCTAAGGTGCTTCTGACAAGGCAATGACGATCATGCGGTATCATCCTCGACATTGTATCGGGGAAATCCACCTCCGAACACAATTCAGGGAGGTAACCACTTCCTCCGAACTGCCCTGACGTGGGCGAAACATTTAGCAGCATGTAACAGGTGGTACGGGTTTCTTGTGTCTCGCGAATTGGGCCAGGACTCCCCAGCAATGCTTGTTTGGCGAGCAGATTCGGTGAATTGCGAACTGCTCTTGGTTGTCGCATTGAGATTCGTTGTCGCCATATATCCCTTTACAGTCATCCCCAATTATCGCTAATTTAGTCCGACTCCTAGCGCTGCTACTAGGTACTATTCGCGAACGGCTAGATATGCGCCAGCAAGCACGGTTGTCGCCGTCCAGATTCTGTAGCCGTCACTATCGCCACGCGTCGTGAAAAAAATGCACGTCAGTACATCGACCACCCGAAATCGACACTCGCCACGCCATCACGCAGCACGCATTGCAGCTCGAATTGATCCGCGCCGCGGTTTAATCACTTCGAGGACCGCAATTACGCGATAGTCTACGTAACCCTGATCAGTAGTAAGCTCCCGTTTCCCCAATTGGACCTCCGGATTTTGAGCCTTGCCAGACCTGCGCCTCACAGCCTACGAATCAGGGTGCTCGAATGTTGTATCGGAGCCCGATGTGCAACTTCTAGTCACATGCCGAGTCGCTTACGACCAGCAGAACCCCTTGACGCATTGTTAGCCCCAAGCATTGTTGAATGTGTTTCCTCGCCCTGGTTCAGACACTCACACTGTCGATAACCCGGGCTATGACCGTCCAAGCCTGTCACTCAACTCAGCTTGTGACCAACCGCATTGTTAGCCTCTGCCCTTCCCCTGCTGCTATATCTTCGTATAGGTTCATTCACCTTGCTGCACTGATCTAGGCTAGGATTGACCTAGGCTCGGATTGACTAGGCTCTGGTTGACCTATGCTCGGATTGTCCTAGGCTCTGGTTGACCTCGGCTCTGATCGACCTGGGCTCTGATCGACCTGGGTCTCTCGTTGACCTAGGCTCAGGTTGACCTAGGCTCAGGTTGACCTAGGCTCAGGTTGACCTAGGCTCTGGTTGACCTAGGCTCAGGTTGACCTAGGCTCAGGTTGTCCTAGGCTCTGATTGACCTAGGCTCTGATTGACCTAGGCTCTGATTGACCTAGGCTCTGATTGACCTAGGCTCTGATTGACCTAGGCTCAGGTTGACCTAGGCTCAGGTTGACCTAGGCTCTGACTGACCTAGGCTCTGGTTGACCTGGGCTCTGGTTGACCTAGGCTCAGGTTGACCTAGGCTCTGACTGACCTAGGCTCTGGTTGACCTGGGCTCTGGTTGACCTAGGCTCAGGTTGACCTAGGCTCTGACTGACCTAGGCTCTGGTTGACCTGGGCTCTGGTTGACCTAGGCTCGGAGTGACTTTGGCTGTGACTTGTGCTCTCATTGTTGCCCTCCCGTGCTGTGTTTCTTTGCCCTGGTTCAGACTGTAACTCTGCCACTTACGCAGGCTCTGCCAAACTAGCTGGTGACCCACCTCAGCTTGTGAGAAACCTATGTGGTGAGTGATCCAGCCTGTGTCTGATTTTGCCATGACTGACCTAGCTTGTCTGACTTAGCGTGTGATTGACTAGCGTGTGACTGACTAGCGTGTGACTGACTAGCGTGTGACTGACTAGCGTGTGACTGACTAGCGTGTGACTGACTAGCGTGTGACTGACTAGCGTGTGACTGACTAGCGTGTGACTGACTAGCGTGTGACTGACTAGCGTGTGACTGACTAGCGCGTTACTGACTAGCGTGTGACTCACTAGCGTGTGACTCACTAGCGTGTGACTGACTAGCGTGTGACTGACTAGCGTGTGACTGACTAGCGTGTGACTGACTAGCGTGTGACTGACTAGCGTGTGACTGACTAGCGTGTGACTGACTAGCGTGTGACTGACTAGCGTGTGACTGACTAGCGTGTGACTGACTAGCGTGTGACTGACTAGCGTGTGACTGACTAGCGTGTGACTGACTAGCGTGTGACTGACTAGCGTGTGACTGACTAGCGTGTGACTGACTAGCGTGTGACTGACTAGCGTGTGACTGACTAGCGTGTGACTGACTAGCGTGTGACTGACTAGCGTGTGACTGACTAGCGTGTGACTCACCAGCGTGTGACTCACCAGCGTGTGACTCACCAGCGTGTGACTGACTAGCGTGTGACTGACTAGCGTGTGACTGACTAGCGTGTGACTGACTAGCGTGTGACTGACTAGCGTGTGACTGACTAGCGTGTGACTGACTAGCGTGTGACTGACTAGCGTGTGACTGACTAGCGTGTGACTGACTAGCGTGTGACTGACTAGCGTGTGACTGACTAGCGTGTGACTGACTAGCGTGTGACTGACTAGCGTGTGACTGACTAGCGTGTGACTGACTAGCGTGTGACTGACTAGCGTGTGACTGACTAGCGTGTGACTGACTAGCGTGTGACTGACTAGCGTGTGACTGACTAGCGTGTGACTGACTAGCGTGTGACTGACTAGCGTGTGACTGACTAGCGTGTGACTGACTAGCGTGTGACTGACTAGCGTGTGACTCACCAGCGTGTGACTGACTAGCGCGTGACTGACTAGCGTGTGACTGACTAGCGTGTGACTGACTAGCGTGTGACTGACTAGCGTGTGACTGACTAGCGTGTGACTGACTAGCGTGTGACTGACTAGCGTGTGACTGACTAGCGTGTGACTGACTAGCGTGTGACTGACTAGCGTGTGACTGACTAGCGTGTGACTGACTAGCGTGTGACTGACTAGCGTGTGACTGACTAGCGTGTGACTGACTAGCGTGTGACTGACTAGCGTGTGACTGACTAGCGTGTGACTGACTAGCGTGTGACTGACTAGCGTGTGACTGACTAGCGTGTGACTGACTAGCGTGTGACTCACCAGCGTGTGACTCACCAGCGTGTGACTCACCAGCGTGTGACTGACTAGCGTGTGACTGACTAGCGTGTGACTGACTAGCGTGTGACTGACTAGCGTGTGACTGACTAGCGTGTGACTGACTAGCGTGTGACTGACTAGCGTGTGACTGACTAGCGTGTGACTGACTAGCGTGTGACTGACTAGCGTGTGACTGACTAGCGTGTGACTGACTAGCGTGTGACTGACTAGCGTGTGACTGACTAGCGTGTGACTGACTAGCGTGTGACTGACTAGCGTGTGACTGACTAGCGTGTGACTGACTAGCGTGTGACTGACTAGCGTGTGACTGACTAGCGTGTGACTGACTAGCGTGTGACTGACTAGCGTGTGACTGACTAGCGTGTGACTGACTAGCGTGTGACTGACTAGCGTGTGACTGACTAGCGTGTGACTCACCAGCGTGTGACTGACTAGCGCGTGACTGACTAGCGTGTGACTGACTAGCGTGTGACTGACTAGCGTGTGACTGACTAGCGTGTGACTGACTAGCGTGTGACTAGACATGGGCATAGGGCGAGTCGAGTCGGCCCTGACTTGAGTCAACCCGTGATTGAGCTTGACTTGACCTGATAATCCAGTTATGCGACGCATTGACCATTCAGCCCACCCGTCTTGACTAGACTCGTATCGAGTTAAAACTGGCTCGAATTGACTCTTTGTTGAGTCGAGTCGAGTTGGGCGAGTGGAGTTAAAACTTGACTCGCTGCTTGTGCCGAACCTAGACAGAGGTTGTCCTGGCCTGCGACCGACCTAGGTTGTGAGTCAACCAACCAGCCTATGACTACCAGCTCGTGCTTGACTCAGCTGTGAGTGACCCCACCTGTGAGTCTATGACCATTTTAGTCTCTGGCTGACCTAACCTCTGTTGGACCTACTCGTTGCAAGTAATGCTTTTCCGCATGGGCCGACTCGTTACTTGTCCCAAAAGTAAGAAAATACTCGCGGTGAGACTATTGGTACTCGCTGCACCAAGAATATTCCATGGTGAATTCCCCCCCCCAATGAACGCACTTTCTCTTTGCCTGTGAGTGAGCTGACCTGTGAATGCCTGACCTAGCCTGTGAGTGAGCTGACCTGTGAATGCATGACCTAGCCTGTGAGTGAGCTGACCTGTGAATGCATGACCTAGCCTGTGAGTGAGCTGACCTGTGAATGCATGACCAGGCCTGTGACTGTCCTAGCCTCAGGTTGTCGTAAAATATTTGTGACCCGGCCAACAGTTTTCTTGCGTGTGTGAGACTTGACGTACATACCATGTGATGCGTCTGATTGAATGGCATTAGCTTCTTTTAGCATAACTTAACGGCTGCTGTCTCTAATGCTGTACCGAAATCATTAAAATTCCTTTTGACTGACCTACCTAGGCTATTGATTAGCTAGCCTGTAACGGCATCTCCCCTCAAATCTTGCTGTGAAGTGAGGCGGTCGTAGCCTCTGACTTATCATCGGCTCTCACTGACCTTGCTTGTGAGGGAGCTGGCCTTGACCTAGCTTTGAATTGAAAAATCCAATGACCTAGCATATACTGTCCTAGCGATAGCGTGTGAGTGGCCTGGCTTGTAACCGACCAAGCGTGTGAGTTACTAGGGTTGTAACCGAGCTAGCCTGTATGTGACCTAGCTTGTGACTTGCCTTTCTTGTGAGATTCCAATCCCGTGACTGACCTACTTCTGACTGGCCTAACCTGTGACCACCAACGAGCGTGATGGTTTTAGCTGTCACAATGACTTAGCAGTAGCTAGTTCAGATCCTCCAAACCACCCCAGAACAATCCCAACCACTCTCCTTACCACCTATTACCCCTCCCAACAACTTCGAGTCTCCCATCCCATAATACTGTGGTGTGCTCTATGCGTGAGCAATGGCCGAGTCAAGCCAGCCTCGTTGTTACCCGCGTCAACTTGCTTTCTGTCACTTCGGACCTGGGTCGACTTTGGGTCTATGCGTGAGCAATGGCCGGGCCAAGCTTGACTCGTTCCGTTCTGACTCAAAGTGTGTGCGTGTCCAGCATGTGGCTCAAATGTAATGCCCGATGTGAAGAGGCTCTCGGCAAGCTGCCAGGCTTGCCACGAGCCTTGCTACAATCGAGACACCCTGTCTCGACCTCCTCCAGGTGTAATCCACCAGCTGAAGGGATCTTGCCCGTCTCACGCTCCTTGACAACCTCTGCCGAAGAAGGATCTTTGAATAAAAGAGGTCTTGATTGCATCGGATCTGACCAGGAAGTGTGTATTAGAAAACCACCAGCGCAACCCAACTCACACTGGTTTTCGGTCAGCCCCATCAACTCATCCCGATTAACTCGCTGAACGCCGAGTGGACTTTCAAAGCCACACTGTGAGTCGACTTTAGGAATCTTCCATTTCGGTTCAAACGGCCAACCCACTGCTCGCTCAGCCCTTCTCACTCGTACAATGGCATTCACTACCATTTCTGTTCTCCCATGCCCTATACTTTCAGATTTCCTAGTTGTGTGCTCTCTCAGGCTTTCCTCGCCTGCCTGGCTGTGGTAAGGAGATGACCTGGCAGGGCCTGTCTTGCTAGAGAGGCTTAGCTGAGGTCTTTGCCTCGTCGTCATTGCTGTTCCGCATCCTCTTGGAGCAATCTATCTTGTTCCCTTCGTTCTATCAGATTCTGATTCCGGTTGTTTCAAGTTTAAGGGTGTGGTGGCCATGTGAATATCTGATACACACTAACTTCAGTTATGTTGTGATTCATCTCGAAACAGGAAAGGTCGTTCTGCCTTAGATTTCTACTTCTCTGTTTTCAACCTACCCGTTCTTTTGCACGGCAATTGCCTTGTCAGAATCCGTGTTTCTGCTATCATCGCTGTTCCTGGGACCTCCTTACTGCTCTGCTCGTTCAGCTCACTTCATTTGACAGATTGTACAACACCTCGTGTAGCTCTCCACCGTGGTAATTTGTTCCCTTATCTGTCGTTTCGCTCTTCGTACGAACTTTCGCTTGTCGCTGCTTTCTCCTCCCATTGTCCCTGCCCTTCATGGCTCGTAAATCAAAGTGAACCGTTTCACATCACCACCAGAGTCTCCACCTCAGGTGCAAGTCTCCACCCTTCAACCTGTGTCCGCCTTGCTGCAACCACTTGTAATGTCCCTTTTTTGCAGTTCCTACTCGCACTTTCTGTACCTCCTCACATCTTCTCCTTTGCTCCTTTACCTGCTCTGGCCTTCCCTTGTTCCGTTGCTGCCTGACTTCATGCCGAATGCTTGTGTGACTGAGCAAGCTGCTTCTCATTTCACTGCTCATCCAATCATGTGTTCAATCTTTTCTCCCTCATCTTGTCATCAATTCTCCATGTACTTCTTGATTTGCATTGCAATCGTATTACTCACATGGCAAGTATCTTTTCTCATGCATCACTCTGTAATGTCACGTGCTGTTACCTTATCGATTGATGCTCTACCCGCCTGTCCTCCTGTCTTATGTTACACTTTCAGTTGACTCTACGCTTCTCTCTTTTAGGCAATTCTGGATTTCATGTCGGATCAGCTGTCTGGGCTTGAGATTCTGCCGTGTGAAGTTTCAGCACCGCACGAGGCTTCAGACGGGGCAAAAGAGGCCATGGAGATGAGGCTGAGGGCGCTGGAGGGGCAGGTGGAGGAGACGAGGAGGGGATTGGAGGAGGCTGAGAGGATCAGGGCAGCAGAATTGGTACTAGTGAAAGGGGAGCTGCTAACAGTGCGAGGCGAGCTGGTGACAGTAAGGGGGGAATTGCTGACAACACGGGGTGAGCTGGCGACAGTGAAGGGGGAGTTGGACGCTTTGAAAGGTACTTTGTTAGGACCGAGAAAGGAGTTTGCTGAAAAGAGGGAGTGCTTGCAGGCAAAGCTGGCTTTGGAGGAGGAGATGAAGGAGCTGAGGAAAGGAGTGAGTTTGGATGAGGCGGCAGCGATGCCATGTCCAACACCGAAGCATGTGGAGTTTGACGTGGAAGAGGAGCTCAGGATGCGCCAAGGGATTCATAGAATGGTTTGGCAGGTGAGCAAGGGATTGGTGGCATTGGCTGCCACATGAATGGATTCATGGAATACCCCATGTCTTTTGGCATGCTTTCTACTGTTGCTGCTTCAAACATTTGTTTTTTTTCCCATACATTGCAGAGGTTTCATGCGACCACGATATTGGACTTGACGGGACTTCCTTACCTCTCCGATGCTATCCTTGGCCATGTGTCCACTATGACTCACCTGAAGCGCATTACTCTCGATGGGTTAACACCGTTCAGTCCAGAAGGAATCAAGCACCTCTACATGAAGCAGCTGGAGAGCCTCGAGCTGACCAGCCATGCCATAACAGACAGCTGTTTGGAAGGCATTGGAGCAGCAAGAAGCCTCAAATCTCTCTATCTCAATGGAACCCGCGTGACTGATGCTGGTCTGCAACATCTGGCACCTTTGAGCAGGCTCCAAGTGCTTGTTCTTCCGAGTATGATCACGGATACTGGCCTGGAGCACATCCAGTGTCTAACTGCTTTGGAAGGGTTGGATATATCCAATTCCATAGTGACAGAAAAGGGTGTGGCACTACTCAAGGGCTTACCTCGTTTGAGGCAAATTAGGGCAGAAGGTCGCGGCTTGCATGCACTCGTGTTGAGCAACCTTCCTGGTGTGGAACTAGTTAGCGTTGCTCTTAGTGATATGAATTAGGAACAACCATAATCCATTGTTTTAACCATTTCGTTTCCATGATTCGACTATGTTCACATTGCCCAACCATTCTGAAATCAAAGGTCGAAAACACATGAGGAAGGTTGCTTGCGGCTACTCTTCCTGCCTCAATGCCTCTGGCAGGTCGTTCACCAACACACGATCAGTGCCAGAGGGCAGGTGCTGCTTGAGAGACGGCGGAGGGGAGGGGGTATGCGAACAGGGTAGCGAGGGATACATGCATGAGCACACAAACACACTGTTTGCACCGAATCGCATTAGCAGGGTGTGAGAGAAAGGACGAGAGGGAAGAGGGGGGAAGGGAAGACGTAAGACAGCAAGGACATGAACAGAAGCAGGCTTGGGGCCACAAACATGCTGCCAGGTCCAACACTCATTGACTGGGTGGGAAAGCTGGAAATGGAGAGGAAGGACAGGAGGGAGAAGACGGAGGGAAAGGGATAAGAACAATAGTCATCAGCTACTCTACAGGGTATACTAGGAGGGATATGGAAGCAAATATGTTTCACATATTGAACGAGCATAGTAACAGCACATGGTATGTGGGGGGAAGAAGGGGGTGGATGGAAATCAACGGAACCAGCAGGGGAGATAAGGGAATGGCGGCAGGAGCGGGAGGGGGAGTGTGGGGGTGAGGAAATAGCGGTAGTGGCAGGGGGGAAAGGGGGTCGAGGGAAGAGCGTCAGTACCAAGGGAGAGGAGGCGAGAGGGGTGGACTAACATATGACCTTCAGCGTCGTCGATCCTCGTCACGTGGGCAAGGACAGGAGCATCGCTGGAGGGAGAGAAAGAACGTGAATGAAGGTATTCTAGGCATAGTGCAGGCGATGAAGCGGGGCAAAAATGGAGGAGGGAATGATGGAGTATTGTGTGGGAAAGCACCATGTGTCATCATGGTAAGGAGGACACCCTCATACATGAATTAGCCAAGTTATGTTACGCTGAGAGGCGGCTGGCCTTCCTGGGAGGCGAGCTGGTCGCAAGGCAAGCTGCTTGACTGCAGCATCACCTTCCACTCGCCTCACCTCCCTGCGCGTATCTGCACATCGAAGTGACTTTTGAGTCGACTCAAAAGGTGACTTTTGAGTGGAGTCACAAGTCACCTCTGCTTGACTACAGCTTCACCTCCCTGGGCGCAGCAGCACATCGAGGCCTCGGGATCAGTGTTGGCCCCTCAACGCGCCTAATTGTTGCTCCTTTGTTGCTCGGCTTGGGGATGCGCAGCAGTACCGATCGACCTTGTTGATTCCGTCTGTGCCGCGCTGCTGCAAGCAGCTGACGGGAGTGATGACATCACCACCAATGCAACCGAAGCTGCACATTCTGGCGCAGCGTGGGAGAGGGGAAGGGGTGCGAAAGCAGGACAGCAAGGAATTCAGGCACCAGCTCAAAGACACACTGATGCGCATAAGGTGGGTGTTGGAGGGAGGAGGGAAAAGGGGGGTGGGGAATGGGTAAGACAACAAGGACAGCAATACAGACAGGCATGGGGACATAGGCACATGTTACCTCCAGCTTTCATGAGCTGATTGCAGGAGGGGGGAACAGAGAGGAAGGATGGGGGAGAGATGGGAACACAAGGGAGCAACAGCGAATATGCTACTCCTTTTATGGAATATGTCATGTATACTCCACACACACAGTCAAGTCAACAACCACAGTACCTACCTGATATTCGAAATGTACCTGCAGATGCAAAGGGGGGGAGCACCCCAGAGCAACAGTATATCACAACTGAAAGTGGGGATGTATGTATCACAATGCAGCTATGTAAGTGCACAAGCATGCGCATGCAAAGACGCAGTCCCCAATGCACTAAGGGGCATTCTCTGAGTGTGGGAAGCAGAGATACAGGGTGGAAGGACGTGACGAGTGAGGGGATAGGGGATGGGAAGATGTAAGACAGAAGGGACAGCAATAGCATGGGGCCGCAGCCACACTGTCAGGCTTAACGCACACAATCTCCTACCCGATCAGCCCTGTGCCATCATCCCTTCGCCTTTTGCTTTGTGAATCATGAGAAGTCCCATCCCAAAAACCATGTTTTTCATTTCAGATATAAAGTAGCTCTTATTCAAGCACCGGATACTAAACGTGTCGCTGCTGTGACTATATGCATGGAGTACCCAGAGAAACAAGGAAAGCGGTAGGTTACCATGAGCATCAGCACCAGTCCGTTATTCCACTCCCATTCTACTCACCTGCCACTGACCTGCCACTGACCTGCCACAGTGCCACTGACCTGCCACTGACCCATAAGCAGCCCACACCCCTCACAGTTACGGGCAGGGGAGGGGCTGAACAATGCGAACGCACTGTGAGGGGGCGAGTCCGAGCAGTGGGGCAGACGTGGGTGCAAGCGAAGCAGGTGCACAGCTGGGGGGAAGGAGGGGTAAGAAAGACAGAGCCATAATCACGAACTGTGGGTCGGAAGACAGCATGAAGAACAGATGCCAAGTTAGGGGGGGAGATGTGGGAGATATTCCTGTGTGGCGTGGTCTGTTAGTCCGTGTCAGAAAAGCAGATGAGAAACTGGGGGCGGAGGACGAGAAGGGGGGAAGAGGTTGAGGGAAAGGGGAAAGAGGAGAAATTGTAGTGACTCGGTGAGTAATGTGCTTCTGCGTTAGAGGCAGACTTGAGGGACTCACAAGGAGTTGATGTGGGGTGTGGACACACATGCGAGGCTGAATGAATGGATGGGAGGGGTATGGGTGGGAAGAGGGTACCAGGACTTGGGAGGGGAGGGATAAGTTGTTGGAGGGGGGATGGAGGGAGGGATGAACTTTACCTTGCCTATAACCACCTTCTCAACTCACCTGGCCTGCCCATCATCTCCCTCCACTCACTCTCGCAACCATCTGCAGCCACTCGCACTAACTCATGAGCAACTCTCAACTTATTGCAAATCAACCTTTCCCTTCCACAGCGACTCACTTTGGAAATATCCAGTCCAGCTATTCAGTTTCCCCCTTCCCAACATTGCATGCAAGAAGAGACTCCAGGCAATGTAAGATTCATCTTAGCTGATACACATCTTTCCAACCCTCATTAATTTTCACCTTGGCGACATCCAGATTTCGCAAGACCTGCATCTTCACTCGTGGTCGAAAAGATGCCGCCAGGATGGTTGACCCATTCTTATTCTTCACTCGCACGATCCTTCCACAAAACCCCTTCAACAGCCTCTGCCTGGTTGAAGGGCGCGCCGTGTTGTTGAAGCACGGGAATTTGTTTGCCAGAAGGTGGTGTGGTGCTGGAGAAGTGGGCTGGGCACAGCTGCACTCATGCAAGTCCATATGAGCAGTAGTACGCATGTAATTTCTCCAGTGGTATGCCAAGTTGGTCATTTACGTTTACGTTTACGTACGTACGTGTACGGGTACGTACGTTTACGCGGCTGTTGGGTTGGAGGCCTAATGTACGGGCAGGTTAAAAATTTTCTGGGCTGCCCGAATATGTATTTTTCTTCTGTAGTACTCCCTCGTGATCATGAATTCCGTCATATAGTGTAAACATTCCATTACAACGTCGTAATTTCCCAATAAACTAAAATACCATCAAGTACGAGTCGTGCAGCATATCATATCAACCTCACTCCTTCGGCTCTTCCGCTTCCTGGCCATCAAGATATGCCTCATCAGGGATGTCGTCGTCATCGAGATGCCCGTAGCTGTCAGTAGGTTCCTCCTTAACTTGCACCACAGGAAGCCCACTCACCACAAGCTTCTTAGCAAGATCCTCATTCAACTTTTTCACAGTGTGATAGTTGTGGCTCACGTACACCAGATCGGCAAGGCGTTTCGCTCCAAGGCGATTACGACGAGCTGTATGGATTGATTCCCAAACAGCCCAGTTCGTCTCGCAAGGGGAGGCCGAGACGCATTGCGAGAGGACTCTCCTTGCAAGCTTGGAGAGGTGGGGCACGTCCGTGCCATTGAATTCCCACCAATGCGCTGAATCCAAAAGCCTAGCTTTGATGAGTTCATGCTCATCACGCGCTTTCTGCCCCCCAATGTCTCCCTTCCCCTTGGTGTACGTCAAGACCTCCTTTTCGACGATGGTTGCGAGTGGCGCCATCACCCCTCCCACTTTCACGAATTCACCCTTGTAGTAATTGCGAATGAATTGCTTGAAGATCTTGGTACACTCCACGTCCGTTCCGAATATTGACTCGTATTGGTTTGGCGGGTACAGAATCCGTCCAGCCACGTGAAGCGCGCAGTTGATGTCGTCGTTCCACCGATTCCGCACGATGTCGGTCGCATCCTCCTTCTCCTCCTCGGTCAGCTCCTTACACGCCTCCTTCACCGCGTCCTCCAAATCAAACATGTTGTCATAGATCTTGCCCATCACCTCCTGATTGCCGTCAACATTCCGCAACAGCTTGTAGACCGGACGAAGCACGTCGAGCACCGTCCCAACACGCGTCCAGAACTCCTTGTCGATAATAGTATCCCATGCGTCCTTCATTTTCGGCTTCCCCTTGACGTACTCCTCCCAATCCTCACTCGACACCATCTTATCGAGAGTTTTGCGCACTGCTTGGAGGCGTTCGAGGGCGATGTAGTTTGCTCGCCTGACTGGACCTGACTCTCTAACTGACGGCGAGCGCGCATAAGCCAGAGTGAAAAGTCAAGAGGTCTACCGTCAGCGTCGAAACGAAGTACACGTGGAGTCGCCATAGTGAAAACTAACGGAAAAGCGGTGGCAGGAAACCCTAAACGAGGTGGCGTGGCGAAACTCGGGCGGGAAAGGGCGAAACGGGAAACCCTAAACGAGGCACAGGCGCAGCTAAACGGGGGGCCGTTAAGGGGCAGCCGCACGGGGGCTAAGGGCAGCCGCGCGGGCGCGGGGGCGGGCGTTAAGGGGCAGCCGCGCGGGGGCCAACGCGACGAGCAGCGAAGGCGGGCGCCGCGGCAACGGGCGCAGGCTGCGGGCGCGACGTCGGGCGCCGCGGCGGGCAGCGACGGCGGGCGCCGCGGCGACGGGCGCAGGAGCGGGCGCGACGGCGGGCGACGGGGGAAGGCGCAGCGGCGGCGCGCGTAAGGGGGGGACGGGCGACGGGACGACGGGCTGCAGGGGGGGAAACGCGACTCGACGGGCAGCGGGGGGAAAAACGCGACTCGACGGGCAGCGAGGGGAAAAACGCAACTCGACAGGCCTCGGAGGGGGAAAACGCGACGGGCCAGCAGGGGGGAGGAAGGTTGCTACGCTACTCGAGTAGGGGATCGGCGGAACGGGCGGTAACGAAGGAACGGGATGAGAGAGGGCCGGCGCTAGGCTCGGGCAAGACGTGCGTAAGTAATACGAGAGAGGGAGACAGGCTCGGACGATACGAACGAGGTCGGGAGGAACGGGATCCTACAGGATCCTAACCTAGGTGATACCATGTCAAAATCGGAAGTGTTCGTTCATTGATGGTGGTTGGGGTACAAGTAGCAAACCCTAACATACGTACCCCCTAAGACAAACCTCACTACATGCTACCAACATTTGACACTTTGCTTGTGCTCAGAATGTGTGGTGACGTTGTGATCCACCCTGAGCTTGTTTTGTTTCTCTTGACTGGTCGTGTGACCCCTTGTTCTCCCCCACTTTGCCTATGGGGGTGTGTCAAACTATATGTGCTGCATATTGTCTAGGCTGTAGTGGGGTAGCCCATATGGGGTACAACCCAATTAGGGTTTACTACTTGTACTCCTGCATCCTGCTAGTTCAATCATTCCTGCTGCTAGATTCTGACACCCATCCCATCCCATCCCATCCCATCCCATCCCATCCTATCCCATCCCATCCCATCCCATCCCATTCCCTCCCCTCCCCTCCCCTCCCATCCCATCCCATCCCATCCCATCCCATCCCATCCCGTCCCGTCCCATCCCATCCCGTCGGCCACGCATCTAACAGCCGGACCTGCTGGCTCAAGCTAAGCTGACCGGAAACACGTCCCCCCTGCCGAACGGCATGTCCACCACGAGGACGTCCAGCCGCCCCCCTTACAAGCTTCTCCACAGCCGCCATCACCATGGCCCCCCCCCTCCTCTTCTCGCTGGGCCTAAATACTTCTGTCCAGGCTGACCAGGTTGGGCAGCTAGGGGCCCAACATTTCGGCGACCAGCAGCCCCACCTGCAGTTGAATGTGGCGGGCGGGCGAGTGCCATTGCCAGTGCCAGGTTCACTGCGAGGGGGACGAGGAGATGGGGGAATATGGGGCGAAGGAATGGAAGAAGGGGACAGGAGGAAGGAGTGATGTGGGGAGGAATCAGATTCGGGTTGATAGGAATAAGAGGATGGGTCGAGAGAGGTATGGGGTGGGAGCTATGGGGTGAGAGGCACGGGGTGAGAGGCACGGGGTGAGAGGCACGGGGTGAGAGGCACGGGGTGAGAGGCACGGGGTGAGAGGCACAAGGTGAGAGGCACGGGGTGACAGAAAGACGAATTCAGGGGAAGGAACGGAACGGCCCTGCCCCCCGATCCTGCGGTCGGTGTGGCCGATTGTTCACAGCGATCTCACGATAGATCGAGGGAGGGGAGGTGCCCTAACCACCATCATAGCACCCACCCACCACCACAGCACGCGCCATCACAACAACCACCCACCACCAAATCACCCAACATTCTACCATGCCACCACAGAGCACCAACCACCCCAGCACACACCGGCACGTTGAGCTGTCGCAACATGGTCACTCCCTGCCGCTGCGCATCCATCAGTGCGAAGACTTGCGGTGCCGACACCACCACCGCTCCTGGTGAGGAGGGCGGGTGGATGGGTGGAGCGCTGCGAGCGACTTGAGCAGATTGGCAAGTGGGTGGGTGGCAGTTCTGCAGTGCTGTCACCATCACTTTTGATGGGGGGGATGGGTGAGCAGGTGAGGTGGGTGGACAAATGGAGGAGTGGGAGGGTGAAGTGATGTGCACATCTGAAACGAATCAACCAGCACATAGAAGTCACTAAACATGGTGTGTGGACACCCACAGGGCCTGGGTGCAGCTGGGATGTTTGGAGCTCACCAGCAAAGTGAGAGCGTGGCCAGGAAGTGTGGCCTCTAGTGGCTAACTAACCCTCCCCAGATGCCACACAATATGGCCCCCACCAACACATGCACCTCAACCCATCCGCTCCCCTCCATCCCATTCCATCCCGTCCCGTCCCATCCCATCCCATCCCATCCCATCCCCTCCCCTCCCATCCCATCCCATCACATCCCCTCCCCTCCCATCCCCTCCCATCCCATCCCATCCCATCCCATCCCATCCCAATCCATCCCATCCCATCCCATCCCCTCCCATCCCATCCCATCCCATCCCAATCCATCCCATCCCATCCCATCCCATCCCATCCCATCCCATCCCATCCCATCCCATCACATCCCATCCCATCCCATCCCATCCCATCCCATCCCATCCCACCCCACTCCATCCCTGTTCCTTTCCTTCCATCCAATCCCTCAACCCATCTTCTCCCCTCCTCTCCCGTCCCATCCCATATAATCTCCTCTCCCGTCCCATCCCACATAATCTCCTCCCCGCCCATCCCATTCAATCCCAACCCGAACAAATCCATCTGCCACGCACCTGACAGCCAGACCCGCTGGCTCGAGCTGAGTTGCATATTGTCGATGCCCAGCTGCATGTCCACCACCACACGGCCGCCACGTCAGCAGGCACGAGGAAGCCCATGGACATGCAGAGCACGCCAAGCGCCTGCAGTGGAAGAATGCGCGCGTGGGTTTGGGCGAGGCCAGCAGGGGGGGGGGGGGGCGGTAGTCTCTACGTCCAGTGAGCAGAGGGCAGCCAGCGATGTCCAGGGCGAGCAGGTTGGGCAATGAGGGGCCGACCACGCCGGCGTTAAGCAGTCCACCTGCAGGCGCATGTGCCGGGCAGGTGAGTGCCACTGCCAGGTTCACTGGGAGGGAAGGGGGAGGGGTGATGGGAGATGAGGGAAAGGTGGGCAGTGAGGAGTGAGAGCGATTAGCCCCACGTGCAGCAGCGTGTGGCCGGCGAGGGCCATTGCCAGGTTCACTGCAGTGGATGGGAGACGGGGGAATAAGGGAGATAGACATGGGATTACCGGCATGGGGTGTTAGGCATGTGGTGGGATGGGAGGGTTTTTTCGAGCAGCCCCACTCCACCTACAGCGGCATGTGGCGAGCGAGGGCCACTGCGAGGGACGGGGAGGGGGGATGGAGGGCGGAGGAGGTGGGGGGTTTAAAGGAGAAGATATATGCTAGCGGTTTTGGAAAGACGTGTCAGAATATTATGCTCTAGCCTGTAGTGGGGTGCTCTATAGCGAGTACAACCCTTCTAGGGTTTGCTATTTGTATCCCCATTCTTGCTAGTGTAACCTCTCCTTTGTTCATTTCTTGCTTGCCTAGCTAGGTCAACCCTAGCTATGGCTTCTCACTGTCCTTACTATCTTGACATGCTATCAGAGCGGTTACGCTCCTGGCCTGTGGGCCCGCCTGCTTCCGCTGCCTTCCTGTGTGTCGCGCGTCCCGTGGCGCGCGATGTTCGTTTTTTCTTCCCGCCGCGCGCCCGGTTTTCTGCCCGCGGTGGCCCCGAGGCGTGCGGCGGTTTCCTCCCTCGTGCGTCACCCCGGGGACCCGCGCTTCCCCCCCTCCCGTCGACCGCCCCGTCGCCCGTCGAAGCGCCCCCCGTCGCCCGTCACGGAGCCCGCGGACCTGCGCGTCGCCCCCCGTCGCCCGACGCGGCCCGCGCGACCTGCGCCAGGCCCGCGCGCGGCCCGTACGGCCTGCGCCAGGCCCGCGCGCGGCCCGTACGGGCTGCGCCAGGCCCGCGCGCGGCCCGGGCAGCCTGCCCCAGGGCCGCGCGCCGTCCCCGCCGCCGTCCCCCGCGCTCCTGCCCCGTGCCACCCGTTTTAGGGTTTGGGGGTGGCGAGTGTGGGGGTGGCGGTTATGGGGGTGCAAGAGTGTGCGCCGTCCCCTGCTCCTCCTCCTCCTCCGTCTCCCACTGCTGCAGCTGCCGCTGAGGGGGGTGGGTGTGTGGGGAGCCGAAGGAGTGGTGCTAGGGGGGTGACGTGGGAGTGGAGTTAGGGGTTGCAGCAGGGGGTGTGTGTTGGGGGGTGTGGGACAGTTGGAGGAGGTTGGGTGGAGGCAGCCGTCGTGTCGTCTGCAGCGCCTGTATTCCGGGGTTCTGATAGCCACCGGTAGCTCAGAGAGCCGGTTGCACCTGTCGCCCGTGGGTCCGTTGCTCCTGTCGCTGCTGATCAGACGCAGAGCCTGTTACTCCTGTATTCCGGGGCCCTTGCTCCCGGTAGCCACTAGAGCTGCACCAGAGCCGTCTGTTGCCCGTGTGTCTGCAGCTTCAGTCGTCGCCTCCACTCCTCTCTCCCCTCGCCAGCCCTCCTCCTCCTCACTTGCCCTCTGTGACTACCTCTAGCTTTGCTCATAATTGTGAACTTTAAACTATTGCTTCTTGAACTTGTGCTCAGAATGTGTGGTGACATT